AGTGAGGCTTCGACGGGTACCCTCATCCAAAGCAGGTCATGGCTGTATCAGCTCTGAAGCCTTTCTACATGCCTTACAAATACTTAGAAAGCTATACTGGAAACCATTGCAGTACACCGTGATTGCAAAAAGCCTTCTGGCACACTACACCTGACATGAGGCACTCTTTTTGATGGATATTGAGTGAGCGTTGGCATGTAGGTTTGGCCCCCTGGCAGAGTAACTTCCTTGGCTGGCTTGGAGGGTTTTAATTGTGCACAGCACCCTACACTCTTGCACTCTATCTACCTTCCCAAGGTACATGTACTCTCTAGGGGCCAAACCCGCGTCAGCATCTAACAGCCCGACCAGCGGCCAGGGCGTGGAGAGGGTGAATTAGGATTGCGAAGCCTCCAGAAACAGCACGCAAGGCCTGAGGGTTCAGAGGCTAGGGTGGTTAGGGCACAGGGTTTGGGGCTCAGAGTTTTGGCCCTGGGTGCAGCGTTTTGCTGCAGTGATTTCCCGGAGAGCCCGACTATGCCGCAGTGCAGCAGGTAGTTGCGACGGCAACGTACCTCCTAAATCTACACCTGAGGTGAATGGCCACGTAACGGCCGCCCACCACTTCTACATTATGAGCCCCCCGACCACCCCATCCATCAGGACCCACGAGAGCCCCATGCCCCTTATTGACCGAGCACAGAAATCCTGTCAATCCTCCGTTATTTGGGGGTCCGTCTGTGGGGTGGTGGAGGGACCCATGGCTACATGCTTGCAAAAAATCTGGAAGCGTTTCCAGGGAAGCGCTGTGAGGTAAGGAACACGGGTCCATTCTTGTGAGCCACGATACTGTACTGCACACATGCACAACGCCAAACTATTACATATTGATCCGCTGCATTCTTACTGTCTGAATTTTAGGAAACAGTATATACCTGAAGGGCAATTCTACTCTACGGCATGCAAGGGCACATCTCAGCTGAGGGTAAGTGAGGGCGCCGTTTCTTGACAGCGGCAAGGTTTTGGATCTAGGTTGTTGCATTCCTTGGCGGGCCACGACCGTTGAAGCAGTTCCTTTTGTTCTAAATCCGAAAGCTAGACCCAAAAAACGACATCCCCAGCGCGGCACTTCCCGGGCGCAGGTTGTGCGGCTCATGGTGCCATGTTTGGTTTCTTTCTCAAAGTTGCGATGCCCCCGCTTCTTTGTTGGGGTGGTCCTGAAAAATAACTGGCATCCAACCAACAGAGCGTAAATAGCAAGGGCGTGACTCTGAAAGGTGTGTAGAGATTGCTGACACAAGCCCCCGCCCCCACAACAAGGGACCCCCTCATTGCTAAAGTTGTTGCTATGGCCCCGAACCCGACTGCCATATACACTAGGCAGTATAACAAAAAGCCTGCAAGGCCCAGTAACTGCACACATGTCGTATACCAAGCTCTGGCCGTATGAGCTCAGCATTGCAACGAAGAACATGGGGTTGAGATGGGCGGTATGAGAGCCCAGAGTCAAGGAATGAGAGTTGAGGATCTGTCTCTAGGGCTCAGGGTAATGGGTTTGGGTTGAAATTGGTGTTGGGCTTTCAGCTTTTGCCAGGCTGATGGTGATGGTTGAGCAGAGTTGCTCTGGGGATCTGTGAGGGAATCTTGCTTGTGGATTTTCCCGGCACAACCTTGTTCAGTGCTTGGTTTGATCCGGCTCCAGTTTTTCTCGACGCTCATGAGAACCTACATGCTAAACCCTCAATCCGCCCAGCTCACCCCCATGAACAAACCTACCCAGGTGCATCGAATTTCAATGTGCATTCATCAGTCAAAGCATCAGGAGAGGGCCTCAGCTTAAGGCTACAGCTTGGAAACTAAGCTTAGAAACGGATCAAAAAAGTCTTAACAGGGATCGCAGGGCGAGGTTTCATCCGATTCCATAACAACTATATCGCAGGGATGGGACTGGATGGCACAGGTTGCAGTTTGTGATCGACTTCCTGTTGGGAAATCTCTTTCTCACTTTCTCAAGCAAACTACAGTCGAGGCAAGAAAGTCTAAGCATGCTTGATAGCACACTGAAATTGTTGAAGCAGTGCTTTAAAAATCGAAGAGGGCCAAATCAGATGGTAAGGTCAACCGGTATGGAACTGATGTTTTGGATCCGAACTTGCATGCAAGACTTCCAGGAATGCTTGGACCAAGAAAGGTCCCAACATTTAACAAAACAAGACAAGCATAATATGGGTACCAAACCGGGAAAAAGCAGCTGCGAACGCTGGCAAGCGCTACAAGTATTAGGTCATGAAACCAAGACAACGAAAACGGTAGCGCCAAGCTTCCGGGACAACCACTACACGAGCTACAGTCAGAACTCCTGGAAAAAGAGGATCAAGCCACCTGGAGCGTAAACCCTGCACTCATCCCTGCATTTATTCTACTTCCAAGAAAACAAGGTGGTTCCGATATTTGAACACTGTCGGTGTGCTGCTTTCAGGGTCCACAGGGGGAGGGGGTTGTATATAGATACTGTTGATGGATGGAATCTTGAACCACCTAGGGGCCCTGAAATACTGTAATTCCGGGACTGTAGGGACTTAAGGTGGTGCAAGATTTCCATATATGATACTCAAATCATGACCTGGATCATAGCATTCATGGCTCACGCTTCCGTCCACTTTGGCAGTGCAAGTGCTGAATCCCTCTAATAGGAAACCTATGTAGTCCTCTATATAGCCCCCTTTAAGGAGTTAAGACTACAGCTCATGTAGTGTCCCTTCACGATCTCCATGAAATACCACTCAACAGGCACTGAGGCCAGCACAGTGATTCTCTGCCTAGGACTTTGGATCTGTATAGTAATGGAGAATCAAATGGAAGGACACTGGGATTGCATGGTGGTTTATGGGATTGGCTGAGGATGTTGGGAGCAGGGAAGATCTGCACTTCAAACTTCGAGATTCGTAATGACGAAGCCATGACTCAAGATAGCAACACCAGTAGCAAACTGAGAGACTGGCAGTGGAGCACTGCTCAATTATCAAAGGGCGAACGGGTTGAGGGAGGCTTGCCGCCCACAACTCCTATACCTGAACATACAGAAACATGATGCCAAGCTTGCACTCCGCCGAGCACCAAATACCGTCCCTTCCTAACATCTTTCAATGACCGTTTTATGACTTGTGCGTGTTTTCTTGATTAAAAGACTAGAAGAGCTAGGACGAAAGAAGCCTTCTTCAAACGATTCAACAAGATGCCAAACCAAAATCTGCACCACTCAGGACATGCAAACTACGCAGTGGATTGGGAAGCTAGGGGTCTTGAAGGATGTCTTCCATCACCCCGACGATGCTTGGGATCCTGCGGAATCCACCGGGGTTCCCAAGCCGCAGGTCGGCCTCTCAGGGACACTTGGTGAAGGTCATGCTTGGGAGGTCCAACACAATTGTATCTTGGGGAATGAAGTTTAGGGCTGAAGGGTTAAGAGCTTAGGGTGAAGGATAGCTTCGGCCTTAGAAATTGGTTTAGAAAGTGGACTCGCTCCACCGGGAAATCCATCCCTTTTGCCAATTGAAGGCCACAGTTTGATTGCTGTTTGCCCCCAACCCTTCACCGAAGGCTTTGGACGCAAGATTAGCGGGGTTGGCTTCGCATTTCGGGTCTGAAGGGCTTCGGTTTGGGGTCTCGGTTTTCGGCTTTCACGGCCTCGGTGACTCGAAAACCTTACAAGCACCTTTTTCTGGGCAACCATCGGCAAGCAGCGCTGATGTAGCAAACCTGGGTCCCAACCCTCCACCCACATTATTGGCACGAGAAGTGGAATGGTCAGACAAAAAAGAACGTTGATGAATTTCTCAGGATATGTCTTGTTTCGAATAATCCCAGGAGTGCTGGGTCTGTGAGAATCACGCGCTCTGCAGGCAAACCCTGACGAGGGCCATTGAGTGTTAGCCTTATCTGTTTCTGGTCATCAACGGTGGCCTCCATGAGCTCTGTGACTTTTAAGGCGTAAACAAATGCTCAGACTATTTTCAAAAACTGCTCTGAAGGAGATGTATGCGGTGAATCCAAATGCAGGGCACCGCTTTCAGCCTCAAAAGCAGGGGATCTCATCCTTCATTTGGGCTTCAACGGGCGCTTCCTGAGATTTAGGCAAATGACAGCCTATGTGGCCAACCACTGCCCTTGACAGCGTTCCCTTGGAAAAGCACATCGTATCGTGCCTCTCGGAGGGGTGACCATGTCTACCTGTTAAAGTCTCCTCATATTGATCATGATATACATACATATGTACCTACCTACATACATACATACATACATACATACATACATACATACATACATATGTCGCCTAGTGGCCTAGTCTGTTGGAGAGATGATCCCTGGACTCTGCTTCACAGCTGGCCTTAGACCAAAGTGAGCAGGCAGAGGTAGCTCTTCACAGGACCAACCTCCGGAGCGGGTGCAGGAAGAACATTTCCGAGATCCCGCGGATGTAAAACATAAGAAATGTTGAAGGTCGTGAGGCAGTGGTAGCAACAGGGTTGTGATCAAGGAGTTTTGCAGCAGCAAAGTTCAGGGTGCATCGACATGCATCAATGCTATACACTTCAGGCGAAAATGTCGGATTCTGAGTCTTTGACACTGTGCAAGATCTAAGCCTTAGGGGAACTTCAGGTAGCAAACAACAACGATCCTTGGGACCATTCTGGCATCTTGACAAACGAACTGAACAAAGACGAAGCCGGAAATGGATCTCAAAAACATGTGGGATGTTTAAGAGATCTTTCGCAGGCTTAGCAGGAGGCGGGTCGATTGGATCTAGTTTGCCCTAGCGGGAAGAGGTATGTGCTTAACTACAGGCCGAGCAGCTGATGAAGAAAGGACCTTGGAAATCTGAGTCCACAAATCTCCGGACAGCTGCCTTGACATCCTGCCCCTTACAGCAAGTAGCGCACATGATGACGCAAATGCTATCCATCTCTGCTCCACAGGAACACAGCTCAGTTCCATGCAGTGCATCGAGGCGCAGGGTCATGTTAGACCTGTCAAAGACAAGCTTGGAGACTAAGGTCCAAGATAGGAGGGGTTGAGTCTTTAGTTAAGGCCGTGTCCCCTGAATTTATTCACCCCCAGAGCCAGGGACTTAGGATGAAGCGCTTCCTGGGGCAACGGGTTAACTAACTCACAATTGCTGGACATGGGATCTTGGTTGACCTGAGCTCCAAAATCCTAAAACCCACACCCAACAATTTCGCTGCTTGCAAGTACCACCCAACAAAGCCCCCAACACCAGACTGCCAGGCTTACAGGTGCTGATCTTCGCCACCCCTGCATTCCCCGCAGCGTTGCATCAACACTGCACTGTTATCAGAGCTGTGCCATTCATCTAAGCCATGTCCTGACAAAAAAAACGTCAGAGATTGGCGCCTAGAACATCCTTGCAGATCACCGTATGACAAAAAATCTGCCATCACCATGACCAGCGCTTCTGAATGTTCATCAAGAATCCTGCCTCTGGCGGCATGTAGGTCGGCAAGCCAAATCCGTCCTCTTCTGAAGACAAGCTTCAGGTGTCTGCATAAGGCTTTCAGGTTCGGGTCAAGATTTTGCATTCAAGGTTTGAAGTTTTTGGGTTTGCCGTTCAGGGGTGCCCCTGAACAAGGTAAAATAATCCCGGACGAATACTCAAAATATGATTTTGCAGGCATCCTTCGCAGGGCTTGGTATACGGTCCCTGTTCTAGGCGCACGTCATATAATGAGGTTGGTGAAATATCCCAGTACGACTATTTTGTTGAATCTTTGCTGCTAAAATTCTCTCACCCTCCCGCCCTCCCGCTGGTGCTCAGTTTTGCCTGTCATTGCACAGTACATTCATTGTGAGAACTGAAATGTGGTAGCTTGACAGGATTTTCACAACTGCGGACCCTGCGTCTCGCAAGTCACGCAATCAGCTGAGCCAGAATGCAACTGGCAGTCCAGCATTCTACGCTCAACACGTTGAATTCCGTCGTAGCAGGGCTTCACAGCAATGCTTTAGCTCATCTATGTGACCAGGCCCCTTCAAACCACAACAAATCAGTCTTCACTCGATGCATTTTCAAACCCGTATTGGGGTCCTCAGCAACCCCCGGCACGAAGTAGCCACCTCCGCAGGCGACCTGCTAGTTCAAACTGATTTCATCAAACCGTTTTTTGCTAAGGAGGGCCTTGGGCTTGGGGTTTGTCAGCTGGTAATGGATGCTGGGGGCTTGGGGCTTGTGTTGAGTTAGGCATTACCTGCCAAACGTTGCAGCGGCCCCACTGTGCACTGAAACATGCTCTGGAGGCAGGAAAGATGCGGGACGGACTTTGCAACAACAACTCCTAGTTCTGAGTGCCAGGGGAAGCTTGTGGAGATGTTCTTGCTCATTTGGACGCTTCTAGCCAAGGGGAATACTAAGGAGGCTAGACGCTGAATGATTTTCCGTCTCTTCGGCTAGACTCTCTAAAAGCCGGAATCGGACAGATGTGAGGGTTTGATGTTCTCAGACGCCAGGGTTGAAGTGTTCAGGGCCGGGCTTTCAAAGAGTTGTCCTTTCTTGAGTTTTCCTTTCTTTGTACCCTTAGGGTTTGTACCCTTGGGTTTGGGCCCCTAAACCATGGAATATGACCCTTAATGAGGTTTGGGACCCAAAACCTAGCCGTACAAACATTAAGGGTACAAACTAAAGTCTTTGAGGCTTGAGGTTCGCAGCCTCCGATCGGGATGCAGGTCTTGAGAACGATAGTCTTGGTTTAGCGGGGAGCTCGTGAAACTTTGAAACTGCCTTCCCAAGATCCAGGTACCAATCAGCAACAGCATCCCACTTTCCCACTTCCTCAGTCAGAAACGAATTTCATGAATCAGCGTAGTGTAGCGCATGACCATAAGAACTGAATGCCAAACCCAGGACTCAGGAGCCCTCTCCAGGTCAATAGACCGGGCATAGATCATTTGTGGCTCATGACCCCGACCCAAAGAATGCTGAAAACTCGAAAACTTGAGCATCCCACTAGGACACTTAAAGCCGGAGGGCAGTGGTTCTCTCTATGTCAGCTCTATGTCAGCACTCGGATCCTTAGACTGCATCCCAAAGCCCAAAGCCCAGGACAGGCAAGCGAGCCCCGCAACCTTCATAGGAGATGATAGGAGACCTGTCAGATCTTTCGAGTCTGGCAAAGCAAACTTAGTGGGGTTAGCAGGGAATCAGGGAATAGAACCCCTATATAACCCCTATATCCGCCGACCCCGGCTTCAGGGGGCGAGCGCACAGTGAAGCCCAGTTCCCGAAGGACTTTGCTTCATCGTTCAGCAGGCTTCAATCGGGAGCCACTCGTCGCAATATCCAGTAGCTATATTTCTCTTCGTAATACGTTGTTTCATCGTTCGGCAGGCTCCGGGAGCCCCTTCTCGTAATATCCAGTAGCTACTGTTCCTGGAGATACCCACTAGCCATTGTCTCAGCGTTAACCAACGAATGTCTCACCGTCCAGCACGGCCGAAGGGCCTACCTGGAGGCAGGAGTCACGCTTCGGGACAATTGGTGGTTTGTGTTGTCCAGGTTCTGGGCCTAAAGCGACAAATCCACTGCCTGCCAACCCTCCCCCCCCCCCCTGCCGCCCCTTTCTGGCTCCAGATTCAAAACCTGCATTTATCATTTCCCCCTCGGCTGCCTGCCACCCCTCCCCCCCCCGTGCCGCCCCTCCCGGCTCCGGATCCAAAACCTTCTCTTTTCTGAACTGCGCGTCGACGATTTCCCCCTTCCAGCCCCTCTCGGCTG